CTGTACATTATTGTTTCTCCTCTATGCCCCGCCTTTCTGAAACGCGTCGATTTTTACAAAACTCATCGGTCTGAAAAACGAGGTGTGCTCTGATTGGCCAGCTATCCAATGCGTTATGATTGGCCGAATACCTCAAGTGTGTGAAGGAAATGTTACGCCCCGATCCACAGCGCTAAGTTGATGTATTTCCTTAGCGACCAGCACGGATCAGCTCCAGGCATGACGAAGCGGATATCGTCCTTTTTGGAAGGTCAAACAAAGTTGTTTCGCTTTCACAACGAAACACAGCGCCTTCACGACACGGCGGCGGCGGCAACAACAATACTACAGTGAGAATAAAAGTTACGCCTTCTTTCTTTACGTGAACATTTGGGCGGCGTTATGCAAATCTTCCCACATAGTGACGTAGACATGTGGGGGCGTGTTAGAACGAGCCATTTTAGGTAGGCGTGGTTGACTCTTAACTTTTATAAAGAATATCTCTTTGGATTTGAGACTTTAGTCTTTGCAACTTTACAGATCTTCTTTATGCACCAAGAGCTTGTAACACTCCAAAGAGAAAGGAAAAATTGAAATCGCATCATATGACCCCTTTAAAAAAATATTAAAAAAAGCTCCAAACGTTTGAACATTCACACTTCACCCCAAAATCCAAAAAGAAAGTAAGAACTTATATTTGGTAATACAAAAACATTTTTTAATCTATCATTTTTAGGACCATCACTTTTTTGCATTTCTATATGTTTTTGCTTTTTACTAAAAGTTTTTTTTTAATCCAACCATAAAATCTAATTATCATTATGCATTTGGACATTTTTTGTAGACCTAATTCTCAATAATGATTTTCATCAGATTATCATCAGTGTAATAGAATGATTTGATTTGAATCAGCAAATATAAAGCCATCACATTTTTTTTTATTTTGCATTACAGTAATGAGAATGTATGAAAACCATGAGAGCTGAGTGGAAAATGGCATTACATTACATTACATTCAATCTGAGCAGCTGAGTCCTTAGCCATCTTCAAGAAAGACCAAATAAAGTAGTTTCGCTTTCACAACGAAACACAGCACCTTCACGACATGGCTGCAGCGTCAACAATACTACAGTGAGAATAAAAGTTACGCCTTCTTTCTTTATGTGAACATTTGGGCGGTGTTATGCAAATCTTCCCACATAGTGAGGTAGGTATGTGGGGGCGTGTTAGAACGAGCCATTTTAGGTAGGCGTGGTTGACTCTTAACTTTTATAAAGAATATCTCTTTGGATTTGAGACTTTAGTCTTTGCAACTTTACAGATCTTCTTTATGCACCAAGAGCTTGTAACACTCCAAAGAGAAAGGAAAAATTGAAATCGCATCATATGACCCCTTTAAAAAAATATTTAAAAAAGCTCCAAACGTTTGAACATTCACACTTCACCCCAAAATCCAAAAAGAAAGTAAGAACTTATATTTGGTAATACAAAAACATTTTTTAATCTATCATTTTTAGGACCATCACTTTTTTGCATTTCTATATGTTTTTGCTTTTTACTAAAAGTTTTTTTTTAATCCAACCATAAAATCTAATTATCATTATGCATTTGGACATTTTTTGTAGACCTAATTCTCAATAATGATTTTCATCAGATTATCATCAGTGTAATAGAATGATTTGATTTGAATCAGCAAATATAAAGCCATCACATTTTTTTTTATTTTGCATTACAGTAATGAGAATGTATGAAAACCATGAGAGCTGAGTGGAAAATGGCATTACATTACATTACATTCAATCTGAGCAGCTGAGTCCTTAGCCATCTTCAAGAATCGGCTAAAAACACATCTCTTCCATCTTTATTTGACCCTCTAACGCTAACACTCTCTATTCTAATTCTATTCTATTTCAATAAAATTATATTTCTAATTCTATTTCCAAAAAAACCTTGCCCCTTTTAAACTTTCACTCTATTCATTTACTAACTACTTGTTTTCTTTAAAAAAAACCTAACACTAGCTTCTCTATTCTTTTTGTATTCTATCGGTTTTCTTTTTATTTATTATACATTAACAAAAAGCAAAAAAGGCCTCTAACACTAGCTTTTTCTATTCTATCTGTTTTCTTTTTATTTATTATATAATAAAAAAAAAAACTTGCTACGTGTGCTGTGTTAAGCTAACTGAGACTTGTTATAGCACTTGCGTATCATTGCTCTTTTGTTGATTTTGATTGCTTCTATTGTCCTCATTTGTAAGTCGCTTTGGATAGAAGCGTCTGCTAAATGGCTAAATGTAAATGTAATGTAAATGTAACATTTGCATCAAACTTAAGTCACAAAACAGAAAATCTTAACAGACTTTTAAAAAGCTTCCTTTTCTTTAAACAGTATATTTATCATTTCTTTCATTGATGAAATGAGACCCTTGACGTGAAGAAAAAAAATCAAGAAAAGCAAAAATGTTAAAAAGTGCTATATAAAACAGCACAAAACCCCAAACATGGTGTGCACATTATTTTTTTGTTTGTTCGCAGAAGTCAAAAAGTGCACAACAGGGGTCGTGCAAGACTGGATTAACTATCTGCTGCCAAGTTCTCAGAAAGCTGCTTTGACCTTCTTCCTGTGGGGCCTGGAATTTACAAGGTCTGAGCACCGGTCCTTGAGAGCCGGAATGTGGAAAGACGAGCGAGCTTCCTACAGACTGTGATTAAAGGCTGGATTTATATGCCTGTGCATGATGCCACATGTTAAAGCTTCAACCACCAGCTATGTGTGACAGCTGCCCAGACCGACAGCATGATATAACCACCAGCGGACAACACAGTCATCATTACTCCGCTCAGAACATAAAAACAACATTACTATAACCTCATCCTCATTTCTGATAAGAGAATGCCTACTTTGTGCTACAACCAAAAGTTACAGAATCAATATTATCCGTTTTGATTAAGTCAGTTGACCATTTTTAAAGAATTTTCATGAAAGGAAAGGTTAATTTCAAAATGTATATTATTATTTTAACATATAAAGCATTTTGATTGAGGGGACCCCCAAACGTAAAGAAACTACAGCCAATCTCAAAAAATAAGGTCTATATGAACTAGAGAAGAAGCACTACTTGGAAAAAGCAACAAAATCCTGCAAAAGGAAATATATGATTACTGAAATAAATAAATAAATACATAAATACATCATAGAACAACTCTTAAAGGAAAAGTTCACCTAAAAATTAAAATTGGCTGAAAATACTCACCCTCGGGCCATCCAAGATGTAGATGAGTTTGTTTCTAAATCAGAACAGGTTTGGAGAAATTTAGCATTAAATCAAATGCTCACCAATGGAGTGAATGGGTGCCATCAGAATGACAGTCAAAACTACTGATAAAAATGTCACAATAATCTATGACGTGCATTCAGTCCATCAATTAAAATCTTGTGAAGTGAAAAGCTGCATGTTTGTATTAAACAAATCCATCATAAAGGCATTTTAAACCATTACTTCTGGCCAAAATACAAGTCCATAATCCATAATAACACTTCCTCCAGTCCTGTTTTCCTCTCACATCAAAATCCTCAGACATGTTTGTTTAGAACTGGTTTGGACTGTTTTCACTTGTAAATGGTGCTTGATCTCTGCATATTTCTCCCCTGTTTCAGACTAGACTTTTTCACCGGAGAAAGCAATATTGTGGATTATGGATTTGTATTTTAACCAGAACAACTTGGTTCCTACCTTAATGTTGAATTTGCTTATTACAAACATGCAGCTTTGTGCTTTACAAGATGTTTACTGATGGACTAGAGTGGTGTGGATTATTGTGATGTTTTTATCAGCTGTTTGGACTCTCATTCTGATGGCACCCATTCACTGCAGAGGATCCATTGTTGAGCAAGTGATGCAAAATTTCTCAAAATTTGCATGAGAAAACAAACTCATCTACATGTTGGATAGCCTGAGGGTGAGTAAATTCTCAGCAAATTTTCATTTTTGGGTGAACTGTCCCTTTAAATGACACAAATCTGACACAAGTATCACCAGTCATGTATGTGGGATAATAACTTCCACTCAGAGAACAGAACACAACACACGCTGTTTATTGGTTGAAACTTTACAAGTAACATATATCTATGATGTTCAACCAGGAGTTGCGACAATCATCTTTTTATCTAATACTGTACAAATTAATCAGTTGTTTGAATCATTTAAGGTGCAAAAAACTACCAAATCCCAAAACGTCTCATGAAAATGTGTAAAAAAATGACACTGGTAATCAGTGGTGGACAGAAACGGAGTAGTTTTAATTCGTTACTGTACATTGAGTACTTTTGTACTTTCACTCGAGTAAAATTGAAAAAGGAGTCCTTTTACTTTTACTGGAGTAATATTGTATTATATGTATCTGTACTTTTACTCAAGTACTTGATTTGTGTACTTCGTCAACCACTGCTGGTAATGAAAACTGATATACTGATCATAGTTGACCCTGTCAACATGTCAAACTGTGTCAACTCTGTTTCCAAAGAACTGCTGCAGTGTCAACACACTCTCTCTCATACTCATATACAAACATATACATATATTATGATAACAAGCTGTAGTTTATTATGATTTTAATAACATTTAAAACATTCTTTTACTGACAGAACTTTCAAATCTTTTAAAATATCACTTCAAAATCAAATTTTCAAAATGATAAAAGCGCACATTTTATGGAATTACCATTACATAGTCCAGCCCAAAATGCCTTAATTATAACCTAAAATATGTTAGCTTATTAAAAATATATCTTTATGATTCTCCATAACCTGCAGGTATGAAGAAAACGCATAAAATGAAACGTGACACAACTACTCCGAGACGAGTTGCGACTCAACACACATACACATATATACACATACACACACATTCACTGTTTTGATTGTTTCATCTGATCGCCCACAAGTTTCTTTCTCTTACTGAAGCGATCAGTGAATTTAAGGATAAAATTACTGGAGAACGCATGCGAATCGCCGCTCACCTCCCAGCAGCTCCACCGCGATCGGACGCAACGCTCCGGACTTTATTCCCGTTGGAGAGCGCGCCAAAGACGGATCCACTCGCCGACGGATTCCGCCATACTGGATTGTGGCGAGCGGATCACGTGTCGAGTCCCCGGCGCATGTCCTCCAGAGGCGGGCGCTCACAGTCAGTCGAGCCCGCCGTCTTCATGTTCTCACATGGGATGGGAAGAACTGAACGATTCCGATTCCTTAACAGTGCCACTAACGATTCTTTTGAGGAACAACTATTTGAAATAAGAAATGGAGTTCTTGTATAGGCCTATTGCAGCCCTTTGCATTAGAATTAGCCTATAGATCATTACAGATTTCAACATATATCAGATATAACTAATAGGAAATAAATTTAATCTAATTCTTTCAAAATGGCTGTCGTGACTTTCTAAAGGCGATATAAATACAATAATTGGTCCTAACTATAATGTTAAAAAAGCAAACCTATATTTCATTTTTTCATTCACTTTTATAACGTACCACTGACTACAACAAAACTCATGTTGTATATCTTTAACTACACATATCAACAACCAATCATCTGAATTAAGTTTCAAGAATAGGCTATATCAACTGTTCTTTTGAATCCGTCATGACGAAAATAATACTCGATAAATTGATTAAATTCATTCAGCAACAGCAAGGCGATTTAAGTGTTTAGGTGTTTTCATTCACTAAAAAGAACCAGTTCGTTCGGCAGTCGGTGGCGTCGACTCTAAGAGTCATTTATTCAAGAATCGAACCATACTGTTGATGCTGTATGTTTTTGATTCACTAAAAAGAACCGATTCTTAAGAGTCATTGATTCGGGAATCCAACTACACTTGTCGCTGTAGGCTATGTCCCACCCTGTAGATTCAATAAATTCACTGCATGTTAGCGTATAAAAAAAACATAAAAATAAACATGAAATAAAATTTATTGTTGATAGCTACACAAACATTAATATAAAAACAAAGATATGTTCTTTGAATTGTACTGGGTGCCTAGGCCTATTATCATGCAACACCTGAACATAATTTAAGAATTAAAAAATTATGATTCTCAGACTTGCAATCAATTATTAAGGGGTTCCTTAAAAGGTTTGCTGAAATTGGGCACTGGAAAAGTCATGGGAATTGTCTTTTAAAAAAATAATGGAAATTAATATACAAATGCAGCTTGCGCAAACAAATAAATCTCTATTAATGGCTTGCACGGTTTTCCCATTTTTATGTTGCATGAATACTACTATTTGTATTATTAATTTTACTATTTTTGGCTGAACTATTGAAGATAAAGATCACCAAACATAACATATTAATAGGTCTATGGTCAAAATATTTGATACATGCTGTACACGTATATATGTGAAATCTGGTGTGAATGTGAAAAAAGGCCTTTAACACTAGCTTGCTCTATTCTTTTTCTATTCTATCTGTTTTCTTTTTATTTATTATATAATAAAAAATAAAAAAAACTTGCTCCATGTACTGCATTAAGCTAACTGAGACTTGTTATAGCACTTGCGTATCATTGCTCTTTTGTTGATTTGGATTGCTTCCATTGTCCTCATTTGTAAGTCGCTTTGGATAAAAGCATCTGCTAAATGACTAAATGTAAATTTAAATCTCTCTTTCTTTCTCTCTTACACACACACACACACACATCTGTTCTCAGCTGAATGTGCCTGATAGTGCTTGACCGTCATGTGAATGTAAAGTGATGTTGTGGTGGCCACTGTTTCTCAGGTTGCCCCGTCTAATACTCAGAGGACTATAGAGTTTCATTGAGTACAGAGACCCACTGATCATTTAGATTGTCTTGTATGATACCAAGCAAATGGGCCTTTTTGTGTCCTAATCCTCACATATACACGCAGGGCCGTCCTTAGGGGGGTGCAACTGGTGCGGTCTTCTTTTATTTCCGTGTACTTAAAACCATATATATTTCATATTTTTTGTTATTAATTTCAGGCCCTATTTTGCACCCTGTTCATGTAAAATGCCTATTACTATAAATAGTACTAGATTCAAGTACTAGTACTAGATGAGCCTTAATAAAACATGCAGATTGTGTTATTCCTGTGGCTGTAACGCTTGCTCAGAGCGAGCTGTTTGGCAGAACGATCTGCTGCAGTTTGCGCATGAGTGTCCTGTGTTTAGCAACAGAATTTCAAGCCATTACACCTGGCTTGGTGACAATAATTATCACTTCCAAGCAAATGTAACTAACCTAATTACTGTCTACAGAGTTGTCAAGCTTCAAAATCTGAACATGAAAACAAAAACAAGAAGGCAAATTAGCTCAATTAGATGCCAAGAGGAAAACGCACTGTTGTTACGTGCTGTTGTTATGATACGAGTCATTTTTCACTTCTTGATGACTTTCCTCCTTTCATCTTTTCTCTGTTCTTCATCAGAAGAACTGCAATCACACTCGACCACAGAAGAAAACATTCTGCAGCAAACTGATAGAAACAGAATCCTTCTACTGATAAAGCCAGCCAGATGCTTCTGTGATGACAATCAGCTGTGCACTTTCCTGTTGATGGAGGCAAAACACACACCAAGTCTTATGGAGGTTTTTGATCCACTAAAGTCATCCGCTGGATCTGCGTCTCTCCATCAATGGCACTTTTAACTGTTCAAGATGCTTTGAGGTAGCTAATGTTGAGCAGCATAACTGAGGTTTGGAAACACTTACTGTGGTCACTCCAGTGTCTAGCGGTGCCATGGGAATAGAGCTTCATTTCTGTGGTATTAGTGCAAAAGAAAACATTACAAAGGCCATTGTGAGAACAAAGCTTTTCTTGTGCAGTTTAAAGGAATAGTTAAACCAAAAATGAACGTTGTCATCATTTACTCGCCATGTTGTTCTGTCCCCATAATTTCTTCCATTAAATGCTACAGCAGTCCGAACGGTTATTTTCCACACGACGACAAATCATTGTGACTGCGACTTTCAAGCCCCAAAAATGACAAAACGCAACACCACAGTATTCTGAAAATAGTCAATACAACTTGTGTACTATATTCCAAGTCTTTTGCAACCATGCAACAACTACCAAAAATTAAAGCTGTCATTCATTGATAATCTTGCTGGTGTTCAGTTCAAAAACAATTAAAAAAAAAGATTTTTTTTCATTTAAAGGGCCGTTCACACAGAGACACTGGCAGTGGAATGGAGAAAAAGGACAAGGCCATGAAAAGTTGAACTTCTTTTAATTTACGCCATGTTTTTAGAATGCCATAATGTGCAAGACGTTGTAAAAGACACAAGACATGAGTGCAATTGTCGAACACATCCGTCTAGCAAATTTACATTTACAATGGGGAATGTTGTTTTGAAATGTCTCCTATCAGGGTTGCCAGGTTGATAGGAGACCTGGCCAATTGCTACTCAAACCTAGCCCAAAACTAGCCCAATCGCATTTTGAGGGGTAAAATACACATTCCCCTGGTAAAATTCGTATTCCAGGGACTAAATATCACGTTATTGGGGTCACTTTAACCTGCGGACATGAAAAATAACCTGCGGCAACAGCGTTAAAGTAGTCCAATTCCGTGGGAAAACTGCAGACTTGGCAACACTGCTCACCAAGGCTGCATTTATTTGATCAAAAATATAGTAACAATATAATAACAAGCAATATTCTGAAATATTATTAGAATTGAAAATAACTATTTTCTATTTGTATATATTTAAAAATGCAATTTATTCCTATGATGCAAAGCAGAATTTTCAGTATCATTACTCCAGTCTTCAGCTTCACATGATCCTTCGGAAATTATACTAATATGCTGATTGTCTGCTCAAGAACCATTCGTATTATTATCAATGTTAACTTTAAGAATAAACCACATTACAAATCCTGACGCTGTATTTTTCCCCAACTTGCGGCAATGTCAGTTCATCCAGAAAACAAAATGATCTCACCCAAAGTGTTTCTGCTGTTTTCTGCACTTTGTGCTCGAGCTCTCCAGGTAGTAATTAGATTACAGTGAATCCAGGAATTTGTTTACATTCAGAAATGAGCCTGTCACGTTTTTAACTGCATGCTGCACTTTTGGGGCCCGTCTGCCATTTGTCACTGTAATTAACCAGAGAGACTGAACTCCGAGCATGTACAGCACATTATGTACCTCGCGCCTGAGAGCGGAGGAGAAGCTCAAACGTTCTCTCGATTAATAACACCGGATGTGGGAGCTTCAGACTGATGAATCTCTGATTCAGTAAATGTCAGTGTTATGCAGAGCAGCCACAGACAACAACGGCTCTTAGCGTCTGACCACATAGGTCACCGGAGATGGCGGGCGGGGGTTTGCAGGGGAAACGCATGCATTGGGTGGAACGAGCTGATAAACCGCTGTTTGTGCCACACTATTTATCTCTGCTTTGCAGGGGCCGTATACAAACCCCATTATATTGTGGTAATTGTGGAAGAATTCATATAGTTTCAGCTGACAGAATGTAAGCTTTCATTGAAGAATTGCTCATTGATCAGACTATTTGTAAGTTGTAGAGATCAGAGGGTTAAAGCCCAGGTGAGAGGAAGTTTTTATCTGGTACAGTTTAAAGGGGTCATATGATGCGAATTCAATTTTTCCTTTCTCTTTGAAGTGTTACAAGCTCTTGGTGCATAAAGAAGATCTGTAAAGTTGCAAAGACTAAAGTCTCAAATCCAAAGAGATATTCTTTATAAAAGTTAAGTCAACCACGCCTACCTAAAACAACTCATTCTAACACGCCCCCACATGTCTACGTCACTATGTGGGAACATTTGCATAACGCCGCCCAAATGTTCACGCAAAGAAAGAAGGCGTAACTTTTATTCTCGCTGTAGTATTGATGCCGCCATGTCGAGACGCTGTGTGTTTCGTTGTGAAAGCAAAACTACTTTGTTTAAACGCGAGTTTTGAGCAGTGTAGGGTAGCGCTTGTTGTTTGTCATTTCTCCGATCACAAATGCAGACAGGGTTTTATGTTTACGCGGCGCGATGCAACGCAATGCGTAAAAAGACAGTATAAGTCATTATAATCCGTAATTATGTCCCCACTGGATGCAACAAATGCCTCGTTTATAATGGGTTTTAATGTTTTGTCTCGTCGTGCCGGGACAAGGCATCACAGTATGGTAAGGAGCGTAACATTTCCATCACACAC